TATTTGAATGTTTGTTCTTGCATCATTTTCATTTGCCGATTTCGCAATAACTATTATGAATTTCACGATACTAAATAGCATACCAGAAAGGGCAAAGGCCGGGGAGTCAGAAAATATAGTTAGTTGAGGTAGCTCAAAAATCGGCGGAGTACCCCTTTAAGTACGTCGGCGGCGGCTTCGCTGGCGACCGTCGGTGCGCGCAGCTGGCTCGCATGAGTCCATGCGCGCGGCTGGCTCGCATGAGTCCATGCGCGCAGCTGGCTCGCATAAGTCCATGCGCGCAGCTGGCTCGCATAAGTCCATGCGCGCAGCTGGCTCGCATGAGTCCATGCGCGCAGCTGGCTCGCATAAGTCCATGCGCGCGGCTGGCTCGCATGAGTTTATGCGCGCAGCTGGCTCGCATAAGTCCATGCGCGCAGCTGGCTCGCATAAGTCCATGCGCGCAGCTGGCTCGCATGAGTCCATGCGCGCAGCTGGCTCGCATGAGTCCATGCGCGCGGCTGGCTCGCATGAGTCCATGCGCGCAGCTGGCTCGCATGAGTCCATGCGCGCAGCTGGCTCGCATGAGTCCATGCGCGCGGCTGGCTCGCATGAGTCCATGCGCGCGGCTGGCTCGCATGAGTCCATGCGCGCAGCTGGCTCGCATGAGTCCATGCGCGCAGCTGGCTCGCATGAGTCCATGCGCGCAGCTGGCTCGCATAAGTCCATGCGCGCAGCTGGCTCGCATAAGTCCATGCGCGCAGCTGGCTCGCATGAGTCCATGCGCGCAGCTGGCTCGCATGAGTCCATGCGCGCGGCTGGCTCGCATGAGTCCATGCGCGCAGCTGGCTCGCATGAGTCCATGCGCGCAGCTGGCTCGCATGAGTCCATGCGCGCAGCTGGCTCGCATGAGTCCATGCGCGCGGCTGGCTCGCATGAGTCCATGCGCGCAGCTGGCTCGCATGAGTCCATGCGCGCGGCTGGCTCGCATGAGTCCATGCGCGCAGCTGGCTCGCATAAGTCCATGCGCGCAGCTGGCTCGCATGAGTCCATGCGCGCAGCTGGCTCGCATGAGTCCATGCGCGCAGCTGGCTCGCATGAGTCCATGCGCGCGGCTGGCTCGCATGAGTCCATGCGCGCGGCTGGCTCGCATGAGTCCATGCGCGCGGCTGGCTCGCATGAGTCCATGCGCGCAGCTGGCTCGCATGAGTCCATGCGCGCAGCTGGCTCGCATGAGTCCATGCGCGCAGCTGGCTCGCATGAGTCCATGCGCGCGGCTGGCTCGCATGAGTCCATGCGCGCAGCTGGCTCGCATGAGTCCATGCGCGCAGCTGGCTCGCATGAGTCCATGCGCGCAGCTGGCTCGCATAAGTCCATGCGCGCAGCTGGCTCGCATGAGTCCATGCGCGCAGCTGGCTCGCATGAGTCCATGCGCGCAGCTGGCTTGCATAAGTCCATGCGCGCAGCTGGCTCGCATAAGTCCATGCGCGCAGCTGGCTCGCATGAGTCCATGCGCGCAGCTGGCTCGCATGAGTCCATGCGCGCGGCTGGCTCGCATGAGTCCATGCGCGCAGCTGGCTCGCATGAGTCCATGCGCGCAGCTGGCTCGCATGAGTCCATGCGCGCAGCTGGCTCGCATGAGTCCATGCGCGCGGCTGGCTCGCATGAGTCCATGCGCGCGGCTGGCTCGCATGAGTCCATGCGCGCAGCTGGCTCGCATGAGTCCATGCGCGCAGCTGGCTCGCATAAGTCCATGCGCGCAGCTGGCTCGCATGAGTCCATGCGCGCGGCTGGCTCGCATGAGTCCATGCGCGCAGCTGGCTCGCATGAGTCCATGCGCGCAGCTGGCTCGCATGAGTCCATGCGCGCAGCTGGCTCGCATGAGTCCATGCGCGCGGCTGGCTCGCATGAGTCCATGCGCGCAGCTGGCTCGCATGAGTCCATGCGCGCGGCTGGCTCGCATGAGTCCATGCGCGCAGCTGGCTCGCATGAGTCCATGCGCGCAGCTGGCTCGCATAAGTCCATGCGCGCAGCTGGCTCGCATGAGTCCATGCGCGCAGCTGGCTCGCATAAGTCCATGCGCGCAGCTGGCTCGCATGAGTCCATGCGCGCAGCTGGCTCGCATGAGTTTATGGGCGCAGCTGGCTCGCATAAGTCCATGCGCGCAGCTGGCTCGCATAAGTCCATGCGCGCAGCTGGCTCGCATGAGTCCATGCGCGCAGCTGGCTCGCATAAGTCCATGCGCGCAGCTGGCTCGCATGAGTCCATGCGCGCAGCTGGCTCGCATGAGTTTATGCGCGCAGCTGGCTCGCATGGACTCCCGACATCACGGGGCTGTAACGTTACAACGGATAGCGCAGAGGGCATACTGCGTCATGACTTCAGATAACAGTCAATTGATAGCGCAGGGGGCGCGATAAACCACCTCTCTGGCTCGCGATTACTTCAGTTGCCCCAAGGGTTTCCTTGGGGCAACTGACCTACCGCCGCCCATGCACCAAAGAAGCAGAACCCGCGCAAAGGCTACTAATTAAAACGTGCTCGTGACGCACTCGCCCACTCCTGAACAAATACGAGCTTGTCGCGATCACTCTGAACAACCCGAGAGTGTCGTATGTGCAGCTTGTCCGAAACCACCCAAAACTCCCCACCGCCAAGCGTAGCAAATCATAACGCACGCCTATACAGTACATGCACGACACATTCTGTGCCCCCCGGGTTTATCAAAATAATCGAAGCTAGTAGCAATTTTTTTTCTTTTTTTTAGCCTCTTTATTTGTTCAGTTTCCGCGGTAGATTGCAAAGATTGGATTTCCCAAGTGCTCAGCGGGGGAGTAGACGCTTTCAATTTCTTAGAGGGTCTAATGTGACCGATTGACCCGCTGCTCTGGGTCCGTCTACGCGCGGTAAACAGAGCGCATATAACCAGAAAATGACGACAGAAAAGCTCTGCTCGCGCTTTCAGTATCGTATCAAAACAATAAGAATGCCTTTCGTGTTGCTTCCTCAGTATTTTTGTTTTCGGAAATTCATATCCAGCGATGAAATTCAACCATCTTGGCGCCCGCGAACAATGTGAGAGTGCTTAATGACGCACAACCAAAACATGAGAAAGTTTGCTCGCCTGAGGCGCTGCTGAAACTTGAGATCTACGGGCCTATTGGATAGAGAGCGCGAAGAATCATGCGCGTGACCGTTCCCACTTGTTCTTGCACTCTAAACAAAAGCCCGTGCGTCTACTTTCCAGCACAACACTCGGAGTGCCAATCACCGCGACTTACGGAGGCAGCTCAGCGAATGACGATAACGAAACAAATGTTTAGACCGATAAACGCAGACCAAGTTGTGACATTAAGCAATGCAAAACGTCACGCTTGCATTGCTTAATGTGACAACTTAGAGTGCGTTTTCTCGACTAAACATATGTTTGGGCATCGTCGTTCGCTGAGCTGCCTCCGTAAGTTGTGGTGATTGGCTCTCCCGGTGTTTTTCATGAAAATAGACGCACAGGCTTTTTTTAGAGTGTGATGACGAGAGCAAGTTCGGCAGTGCGAAATGACTGCTGCAGAACGTACGCGCTCAGCAGCAGGACGGCTACCACAATGGCAGCTGGTGTGACGAACAGGGTGTCGAGTAATGTACAAAATGTAAAACGAGAGAAAAAAAAAATAACTCCAAAAATAAGCTACGCATCGCCTAACGCTCAGTCTCAGCCAGCTGAGACTGAGCGTGCTTTATTTTTGCGGTAAACAAAACCTTGTGAACTTCTTTGCGGGGGGAATTTTGTTTAAGGAACGACGGTTGGCGTCGCGAGCGCGGCTGAGTCGGGCCCAGCGGATGCTAACGAGTCCCCATTTCCGAGGCGCTTGAGAATCCGAGGCTCGCATTCCACGTGCCGCCCACAACCAGACGAGGTCGGCGCAGTCGTCGTTTACGGCGGGAGAACCGCAAAATGGCGACGCGAGGCTCGGGCGCTGTCGAATCACGCTTCTGGGCAGGCCAAGGTCACGAGGACGCCTTGATGCCGCCCCGCTCCGAAATCGGGTCAGATCGATTAAGGCAGCAAATGACTCGGCCCATCTACGACGTGTGGAAAAGAAAAATCGCAAAACGCTTAGTTTTTGTCTAAATGCAGCGGTCCGTACCAGAAGCCAATGTTTTACAACTTACCATTATCTTATTCAATATTTATAAGTGAATTCCTGAAACTTTCAATGGAAAAATTAGGCCCTGCCTTCGGTAATTTGCGCCATTCAGCCCCATTTCTTTGCATAGGCTCTGTCGGCCACCATGTTCCCATTGAAACTTTCCGAAACTCCCTTTTAAATTTTGAATAAGATAATGCTTCGCTCTCAAACATGAGTATATATAGTTCGGAGCGCTAGCGCTATATTTGGGCGGAAACTGAGCGTTTGGCAGTGCGTAGTTTATATTTGCAATTAAAAAAAAAAATATATATATGACGAACACCTGTAGGGATGAGAGGGGGAGGGTTGTGTGACCACGAGCACGCGCAAGTGCAGCTGCAGGTTTTGTAAAAGTCGCTCGCAGTAAACGTCGTAAACCACCCGCGTGTACACGTTGGTACGCGTTTGCCCACAGCAGCTGTGGGCAGATGCGCTGAACCACATGTAAGCGTTTTACCGAGCGACGGCGCAAGCGACGACAGTGAGCGACGAGTGAGGGCGATTTCTAGTCACTCGGTTTTTGAACTTCTAGAAAACGTCGCTCGTCGCCTTGGTCGCTTGCTCCCGTCGCGCTTTCATGCGGTTTGCCTCGTCGCGCGACTGACCGAGCGACAGCGAAACGGGTCGCCATCGCTTGTCTCGTCGCTCACCAGATCGCTTACATGCGGTTTCTACTTTAGTGTCGAGTGAAATCTTTGCGCATGCGTCGTGACGTTAAAGCCACGAGTTGGTGTACAGAAAAAAGATATATAGAGTCCATTTGAAACGCCAGTGCGAGCGCAACCTCGTTAGGTGTATACGTGACGTCGAAACCACGAGTTGTTCTACACGTACGGGAAGTTTCGTCCGGTGGTCGCCGGATACAGCATGGAAAGCTTGAGCTTCTTGTCCGGCCCGATGACGAACACCTGTAGGATGAGAGGGGGAGGGTTGTGTAACCCTATATGATTTAGCGGACGATTGCGTCCATTCCAAAGAGCGCTTTCAGCAATTTGTCTACATGGCGCGCAAGCTCATTGTGAGGAGCTTCGAGAAGCGATTTGACCTTGAAAGCCACAATGCTCGTAAATGGTTTGTAATTGGGGATTACACATCGCCCGTCGTTGTGACGCAATGGTGCTGGGCACGGCAACGCAAATTTTCCGGGTTGCCTTAGCCCGTTTTACGCAGAAACAATCACTTTCTTTCCTGCACTCTAAAAAAAATAAGAGGGGAAAAAAAAAAAAACCTCCCCCGCGTCTATTTGTTGACAGAGTACTTTGAGAAAGACAACCACTGCAATCCACGGAGACTCCTCAACAAATGACAACGCATAAAATAAAAAAAAAATGTCGGCCTAAGGCTACACAGTGAGTGTCACAAAATCCGGCTGTGTTACGTTATCCATTCTCCCGGGCTAGACGCGTCCTTCCAAGAAATTCGCGGGGTGTCAGGGCTGGGACCCAGCTCCCACGAAAACGAAGCGATGCTGCCTTTGAACGAGGATGGAGGGACGAGCGGGCCAGCGTCCTGGCGTTTGGTTTCCTTTTATTTTGTTTTCCACGCCTGCGTGCTGGAATGCGGGGGCCCGTCGAAGGGGACTCTTTTGGGGGCAACGGCGAGCAGTGTGAGCGGGAAACTCGGAAGCAACAGGCGGCGAATCGAAGCGTCGAGTCCGTGGGGTTCGGACTGGGGAAGACTTCGACGACGAAGTGTGTGCGTGTGATTGTGTGGCCGCTTCAAGCCGCCCAACCCACCGGGACCATTCCTTCCCCCTTCGGACAGCGCCTCGCAAGACCGTCACTCCCGGACACTGTGAGACGAGATTTCCCCTCCACTCGCACTTTCCTCTTCATAGTAATTAAGGAAGCGGTATTTCTGTAGTTGGTTTTTATTCTCACGGGTGTCCGATTGTATTATTTGATAACATTTAAGCTCCGAAGTTGTTATTATTTTTTTTTTTTTCATGTTCCGGGAAGCTCCCGCGTAAGAGATGGTTAATGCGTTGTACTAAGCTGTAGACGTTGGTTTTCGACTAAATCGTTGTGCGCTGAGTATTTTTATCCTCGAAGCCCGTGCACCGGCCAGGGGAAGTGCGTTCAAGCCCTGTTGTTTTCGCAGCTCGGCTCTTGTTAACCATTTTTTTTGTTTTTTTTTGTTTGCAGTATTAAATTCGTTTCGTTGCAAAACTGTGGTCTCCCCTTCATTGGCAAGACTCCACCGAGGCGTGGACCTATCGCCTGGTCGGCAGTCCTTTGTGTTTAAACAGAGAGTATCAGCAAACCTGAGACAGTGAGCAAGACGAGAACACGAGGGGCAAAACTCTCAATGCCCCGACGCGGACCTTATTTTACGGTCAAAATGCCTTTCTACGGCCTCGTGAATTCCCCAGCTCTCTCCACAGATGGCAGTAATAAGATTTATTTCTTTGCCTTAAAAAAAAAAAAAAAAAGTCGACGCGCGGGCATTATTTAGAATATGAGTCGAGGCCCGTTCCCACAGCAGTGTTTGACGACGTTAGAGGTATTGGCTGAAGGATTACGATGACGGTCAAAGCCATGGTACTGGTTCGGTTGCCATGGCAACCGAACCCATTTGGCAAATTGGTATTGGCTTGTTCGCCAATACCAACATAAGGCAATCCTTGTAGGGGCTTACGCCAGCGATACGACCACGAGTCTTTAGGTTACGTTTGCCATATAGTAACTAGCAGTCACGTCTTGTCGATGTAAGCCCCCTCTGCAACGTCACATTTTCGAATGAGTGTGACCGGCTGCGTCACGGCCGCTTGCCGCCACTTCCGACGAGAGAATGCACCTGGCAACATCTATCGGGAATATGTAGAACACTTTCCGTTCAATGCGTATGCGCATCATGTGCCAGGACGTTCAGGCCTCGTAACCATCGCTACCACCCCCCCACCCCCCCCCCCCCCCATTTCCCCGTTTTCCTGGCGTAATAAACGGAACTTGCTACTACTGAACCGTATGGCCCCCTTTTTTTGCGCGTCATCTTGTTTTTATTGCTTCGAAAAACTTCGACATTGTTTTAAACGACCAGTTACTTTTGATCTCGCAAGTGCTGCAAAACATTCGCTCTTGTGAAATACAGCTCCAGGGTCTTCTCGAAGATGGCGCCAGTGTGCCAGTGTGTACTATCGTCGTAAGAGGTCACCAAAACTCGGTTGTGAGCAAGTGTGAACCAGTCCTTCAGTGAAACGCTCTACTGCGTGAGCGGAGCCTCAGCTGACGCGTGGCGTACCGCTCTGCAGGTGAAGGGAATGCCCTCGCTGTCCTTGTCTTCGGGGTCGAGCATGCCCAGCTGGACGGCCAAGTCCCGATTTTCGTCCGAGATGATGGGGAAGGGCAGCATGGGGCTCTCCAAGTCGTTGAACGCCTGAATGTCCTGCGCGTATGATGCCGCAGAGCGGCGGACACTCAACCCTGTTCCCGCGAACTCACGTGCCTCCGCTTTTTCGCATACATCTTTTTTTTTTTTTTTTTTTTTTTGCCGGAGGAAGTGACGTTTCCCGGGTTACTTCTGCCCCTGTAAAATTCTTTTTAGCGAAAACTTTTTCGGTAAAATGTGTGATGGACCTCCGGAACGGCTTATAATGAAGACCACCGAACTTCCTCATGACAGTAACTTTTGTTCTCAAATGGTGACTCGTCGTACTTTTGTCAGATGCCATTCTAGATGTGTACGCGCTGATGTAATTATAGAGTAACTCCGGAACTGCTTCCCTACCTCGTCGAAGCTACGAGGACTCTCCGCTGAACTTCTACCATCTCAGCGGAATGACTGGCCACAAAAGCAGGTCATGAAGCGGGACTGTGGGAGAGAATCGTCGGGTCTCCAGAAAGCCTATTTCGCTCTGTCGACGAGCGAAAATTTGATGTTAGTCGTAGGGTTTAAGCTGCAAACACTGCAGTAACACGTTTGGTGGCATATATGCACTCGTGCCTTTGATATTACGCCAAAGCGGAGGCGACTAGAGAACTGGGCACACGGAGATGCTTCGCGCTTTTATAATAGAGAGTTTTAGTAGATCGTTTTTTGGACCCGATAACGATACCTCCTCTCCCCTCCGGCGGCCTTGGGCATGCATCGTATCGTTATTGGGTGTCGTTATTGGGGCGAAAAAACGATCTGCTAAAACTCTGTAATGCGAGTTCTATATCAGCTCCTGTGGACAAATGCCCCTTTTTCATAATAATATTAAAGGAAAATTCATTGGTGAATCCTAAGAGATGACATGTCCCTTGGGAAAACGTCCCACACGTCCCCTTTGGGAAACGCTAACGCTGACCCCTTCACTTTTTTGTTCTGGCTTTCTCTGTGGTCTTCTCTATTTTTCTCTGCCTCTGTTTGGCTTCGTTACGGGGTCAGTGTTAGCGTTTTCCAAAGGGGGACAGGTGTGTGATGTTTCCCAAGGGTAATGCTAACGCATTCCCTAAGGATTCACCAATAGATCTTCGTTTAATTTTTTTTTCCGGCCTTGGGGATTCTCGTTCGCCCGCATCCGCTGCCTGACGCTGCTTTCGTTGTTCACCGGCTTCGGCAGCCCATCTCCTTCGTTCACAAGCCGCCTTTTTTTGCCGCCTACTTGGACCAGCGCTGATGCTTCGTTCATAATAATAATAATATGTTTTATTTTCCGTCAAAAGTGTATGACGGAGGGAGACCGAGGAAAAAAGCTGCATGATGCAGCTTGACAAGTCCTCGGCCCCCAATCCTTACATTTGGCAGCAGTGGCACAAAAAACAAAACAAAAAAGACAAAAATTCATGTAAAAGAAGGCATACGCCCTCCGCGCACCTGCAAGTTCAGACTCGCCCCAGCATTCGCGCGCACATTGGCTTCCACCCCGTGATGTCGCCTCCTTCTCTCCTTCGTCCTTCCCTGCTCTCTTTCTCTCTAAGCGACGCGCTTCCCTTTCTACTGTTCTGTCCACGAACGGACGCCGTCAGCTTTCTCCTGTTGGGGGGGGGGGGGGGGGGGGGGGGGGGGGGGGGGGGGGGGGGTACTAATGCTAACACATTAGAAAAGGCCAGTTGGTCCTGCTGGTGTGTATACGTTGTGTTAATTGTGATACCTCCTGTAGCGCAGCGAACGTGCACGGTGTCCAGTGGTACTATAGTTACATCGCGGGAGTATTTTCTAGTGAGAGCCTATCGACCGCGAGCTCGTTAGCAGTTTAGCGTTACAACTAGTGGCGTACCTAGGGTGTGGAGCGTGGGGCACTTGCCCCGGACGCCAAGGGAAAGGTGGGAACTGGCGCCGGGTCAGCGAGTAGCCGAGGAGGAATTCCTGAGTTAGGATTGAACTAAGGCATAGCCTCCTTTATACTCACAAAACCTGGCAGTTCGGCGACGTACGGAGCCATAGAGTGCCCGGTCGCAGATTTGGAGCGCGAGGATCTGGTAGCACAGAGCATCTCAGAGCAGAGTTCTCGGGGAACCTGGGGGGAACGCTTGCAGAGCGGAGCATATACAGTTACTCTAGGGGAACCTGGACGTCAGTGCACAGCTTTTGCAGCGGCGAGTACCTGAAACACACTTGTTTGCTCGGGAGAAGTGTGTTTCGGCGTCTGACCACAGCAGGGCGCCAGTCTCGGGGCTCTCCTCTACTCTCCTCTCATCCGTCTCATCCACCCTTTCCATTTCGGCGGCCGCTTCTCGTGGCGATCTGCCATGCTTTGTCAGATATAGGAGGCTATGATGAAGGGCACCGACAGAGTTGGTGATCGCGCTCAGTTGAGTGTAGAAAAAGAAGGAACTGGGGGGGAGCAAACGGACTATGTTGACGTTGTATATCAATTCACTTTTGCGAAATCGAGCAACGTTTTGTCGTCGTTTTTAAGCAGTGCCGTGATGTATTATTACTGTTTTATATTTGTTCCATGCAAAACAGTAACAATACATCACGGCGCTGCATAAAAACTACGCCAAAACGTTGCTCGATTTCGCAAAAGCGAATTGATATACAACGTGAACATAGTCCGTCCAAAGTGGAAAATAAAATGTCGGAAACCTAGAGAGTACCTCCTTGCTGATGCTAAGTCAATAGTTTTAGCTTTTTGACATAGCGTTGTTTATGTCAACAGCTGTTTTTTTTTTTTTTTTTTTTTTTTTCATCTTTGTGGTTTAAAGTTATTTGGAACCAACTTTTTAATAATAACAGTCTATTTTTTTTACACGAAATATGGGTGCCAGACAAGAATTACGAGGTGGTTTGAGATGAGCTTATATTGTTTGGTATCTTTCTAACGTGTGTATTCAGTACAATGCATGCAGTGGAATGAATATGCTGTGACACAGCCACTCCACTTTCGCGTAGACGCGGGATTTAACATAAAATCATCATCATCAGGGGCGCAAACTTAACTACTTGCCAAGGGCGCCATCACCCATGGGTACGCCACTGGTTACAACGAGGACTCTCGCCCGTCTTTCGGCCTCTTTTGCCGCAAACATTTTGTTTCGTAACTAAGAGAAAAGAAAAACCTTGGAGGCCGCCCATTCCTCCGACCGATAACGGCCGGGATAGAGTCTGCTAAGGCAGTGAGAAAAAAATCAAAAGAAAAAAATAAATAAAAATAAAGCAGGTTGTCCTTGCCGAACGCGTCATTTGAGACATAATGATCTCGTCACTCGGGCGTGACGCCTTTAGTGTTAATTTTGTCAAAAATATCTGGGACTCATTAACAGCACTCAGCGTGCTGCTAGCATTTTGCTCTCTGCATATGTTGCTACATATTCTCATTATGCCGATTCTTGCGTTTTTCTCTTATGTTCTTGTTGCATGTGGGGAGTTTGATTAATGATGGGGACCAATTTCGAAGAGCGGTGCCGTTCAAATGATTGATTATGCGAGAGAAAACGAGAGACTTTCGAGCGCCAAACACACAACGTTGGGAAGTTGACGAGTGGCCAGATCGGGAACTAACAACTGTTTGTAGGGCAAGGCCGAGTGAGATGACGCATCGCGGTGCAAATACATGCAACTCTCGGGCTGGCCTGAATCTTTCGTAGCGATAGTAACGAAAGCGGCGGCACTTGCCTACAGGGCTGAACTATTTCGCGAGCTGCTGCGGCGGCTGGAGCAACAGATTAAGTTAGAGTTTAGTGGTGGTTCTAAGGTCAGTTTTGTTTTTGTGTTGTATGAGAGGGAACCAGGTAGTTTGCATTTTGTTGGAAAGATCAGGAATGTACTTGAAGCTGGTATAAATGACTTAAAGGGGCGGGGCAACGATATTCGATTGGAATGTTTTTCACTTTACAAGAGCTTACTGGCACTAGTGGGACTCGAGGATACTCGCACGCAACGCCACTGACCAAGAAACTCCTTTGTTGCACTGTAATTTCGAGGACAGAACCGAGCGTTTTGTCCTCGAAATTACAGTGTCCAATCGCTGCAATGACGACAACAGCCGAACCATAACAATGTCTGGAACTCAGCGCGTGTCCTGTGCTTTGCCAACCCCAGCGTGTGGCTATGATCAACATTGGCGGCATATATTCGGCTCCATATCACGTGGCCGCTTGCACTGGCTGCGAGTTGAGGGGGGTGAACTCTGCTCGTTTTTTTTTTTTATTTTTTTCGGCGACTTCGATTGCGTGTGGTGAAAAACGAATGGGTATTTCACAGGTCATTAACGTCAGGGATCCGCTCTAAGCGGTGTTTCCGCAAAACACAAAACTCGTTGCATCGCCCCTTTAAAAGCACTCCTGAAACCTCTACCCGAGCCAATGTTTAGCAAAACCACGATTCCTCTAAGCGACTATTCCGGCTTATGTCTCTAAAGCGCGAGACACATGGACGGCAGAATCGTCCGATCCGACAGTCCGAACGCCGCTCCGAATCGCCGCACGCGACAGTTTGAGACACACGCTTCCGACCTTGCATGCGACATGACGATTCGTTCGGCTCCGCCCAGGAGATCCAAGCACTCCAGCGGAGGTCCGCGTTCACAGATCTATGGTCCCAGATTGACGGTTTAGCTCACACGAGCGACGTTAGAAGCTCGTTCTCGTCAGCGCGTGAGGTCTTTGCCGGGGCCATCTTTCTCGAATGGGTCAGCGGGATCAACGCGCCCGGCTTCCCGTCGCCCGTCCCGTTTTCTTGTTTGTCCCGACAGACCCAGTACGTCATCATGACGTTCGCGCTAGCTGTGCTGTCATTGGCTGAACGCATCCGACAATCCGTCCGCCGTGCGTAACTATCTGGCGCGTTGGACGCATGTCGGATCGCCGATCCGACGTCTGAAGCGACCAAAATTTTCGGATCAGGCAGCCGTGCTGCCGTATCGGACGTCGGATCGGATGGATTTTTTCGCGCATGCAGGGGTGGAACGGCTGCGCCATTTGCGCCATTTTGCGCCAGACGCATATGTCTGCGCCATCCTGCGCCATGTTGCAGAAACTGCGCCACAGCCAATACCTCGCGCCATTATGCGCCAGATCGCAAAACGTGCGCCAAGAAACTTTTTTATATTGTCTTGGTTTCGGTTTTATTGACTCGATTGGCAACAATGAGCGCGTTCAGCCTGGTCGGCCTTGCAATCCTTTGTTCTGTTTATTCTCCCTGTGTATCCCGAGTCGGAAGCGCGCGAAAAAACTCGGATTCTAAGCGCCACACCACCTGCGACTGGATTGTTATTCTTCAACCATAAGCGGTTAAGCAAGTCGGCTGAGGTGAGGTCGAGTCGTTAAGCGTCAAATTGCCTGAGGCTCTGCGGCCCGGGATCCGGACGTCAGCCAGTTAAAAACAAATGAGCAAGATATTCCTTTTAGTACTTCGTCGTTAGAAGTTGGAACCGCATTCTCGCAAGATAAATCGTGATTTGATTGAACTGAAAAGCGGTCCGATCCGAAACCTTGCCGGCCAGCAGCTCTTTTGCGAGTGATAGATCTGCTCGGCGTACTTTAACCTTGCTCCTGCTTATCGCTTCAAATACGATAACTTCGTTAATCGTAGTCTGCTGCTTCGTAACCGAGTTGCACAATAGGATAAACGCGAAATTTGTTGCCCTGTTCCTCCGTGCAACTGCACGTCCATTGCTGGCGCACGTCACGGGGTTCGCACATATAATTACTATGTCGAGCACGTGTGGGTTGTGCGATAAGCAGAGCTGGTTTGCATTTTGAGCAGCTGAAAGCCGCTCGGAAAATATCAAGGACGCTATCTTGAGAAACAGGGTACTGGCTTTTTGATTCTCATTAAGGCTCACAAAGTTTCAAGTTTTCGCATCTGTTACACTGTTATCCCATCTACCTAGGTCCCTAACCATTCATGTTCATCTGTTCTGCTATAAGTACGATTGAAATTGCTCCCGTGCTTGTCTAAGGCGCAAGCTGAAGTGCAATGAAAACTGATCTGAGCTGCTCCTAGCCTGCTCCAGAACGTAGTTTTAGCTGCTCCCAACCTGCTCCAAAACAGCTGTTTCAGCTGCTCCCGTGGCTGCTCCCAGGTACATTTCATGAGTTCCACCCCTGCGCATGTGTCTCGGGCTTAAGCCGCGAAATTTTTAATTCATCAAAGAACTTTAAGGCCACATGAAAAATATATTTAAAAAAGCTGCATTTTCGCGATCTATATACATCAGTACCCTTGAGTTCAAAATCCGGAACTTGAAGACCTGCGAGTAAGTGCAAGTCCCAACGAAAAGAACATTCGACGAATGTGGCGAAGAAAGCTGCAGGAGCCTGCATCCAATTAGCGCCGAGATGTTTCAGTGGCGCCCCCTTAGGGTCTCCGTTCGTGACGTCACGAGCAGAATTTGCCTCCCCGTATCACCATGAGTTATATAATCTTGACAACTTATTGTGAGTTGCGAACTACAAAGTTCGATGGACTTCGTAAAAATATCAATGGAAGCTCCTTAATCGCATCCTTAAACTAACCTCGGCACAGTTGACACTCTGCCATTGCGCCAATTACCGTCAATGAAAACAAAACAAAAAGAAATAATCCAGATAGAGATATCACAAAGAGCCCTTTGGCCAATCGCGAATTTCGACCACAGCGACGGTTTTGGTCGCCCATGTCACTAATGCGTTACATTTATTGATTTGCAGATACGAATACGACCCCTTTTCATGCACCCTAAAAAAGTCTGTGCGTCTACTGTCACGCACAACACACGGAGAGCCAATCACTGCAACTTACGGAGGCAGCTCAGCGAATGACGATGACGGAATATACGTTTAGAGCAAAAAACGCACTCTTAGTTGTGACATAAAGCAATGCAAGCGTGGTTTTGCTTAATGTCACAACTCGCACTGCGTTTTTTGGCCTACACATATGTTTCGGCATCGTCATTCGCGGAGCTGCCTCTGTAAGTTGCGCTGATTGGCTCTTCGAGTGTTGTGCGTGAAAGTAGACGCACCGACTTTTTTTTAGAGTGTGGGAGGTCTCCCATAGCCGTGGCTGATTACAGATATTCACACTTGCTGCTTTGTGATTCGTCCCCTGCCGTTCTTATCGACTAACGGCGCAACTTGTGGAGCGACGCTAAAAGATGCTAGCGAGACACAGCAATAGATTTTAAAACGTTATGTCACGCTTCTTGCTTCGCGATACGTTCATTGGCGTTCTGATTGGCTATCAACCGCATCGGCTGCGAAGCAACAAGACGATCGAGACTCACCAAGCCCTGCATTTCTCGAGCCATACTCGGAGACTCAATCACTTCAATCAGCCCAGAGAGCTCGGCAAGTGATGAAGCTGAGCATATGATTAACCTTTTAAAGTGAAGCCCGCTGCAATGTGCCTGGCGTTTTGCGTGCACAATCATAGATAACGGACCCCATTTGTAAGTGCTGCTTTCAACCTATCATTCGCCATTCTCTTCTCGTTGACCGCAGTCATGGGCTGTTTGAATACTCTGTGAAAAAGCAGACACATGAACTGTTTTTAACCGTGTTTTTTTTTATTATTATTATTATTAGTGCGGCAACTGATTCCGGAACAAGCTCGAACTTGCGGTGGCTTCAGCGCGGCGATCTGACACGTGCGGTGCAACGAATATAAGACATACCTTCATCCAGTGGGTGTGCGACTCGATGGAGTTGCAGGACAGGGCGATGACCCGGATGTTGGTCTTCTCGAAGTCCCTGTGGATCTTGGCCATGGAGCCCAGCTCCGTCGTGCAAACCGGTGTGAAGTCCGACGGGTGCGAGAACAGGATGCCCCAGCTGCGCATGTGCGCGCGCGCGCACGCTCAGTATCCCGCAGCTCAGTGCCACGTTTCAGCAACTTTCGGTCGGCTTCCGAACGTCCCGACATTCTGCGCACGGTTGTAATGTCAGGCCGCCACGGTGGCGCTGCTGTCGTTGTGGCACTAAAGCGGTGGCACCATAGCCGTTTATACAGACAGAGTTTGGTCAATGGGTGGAGCTTGTTGCCCGAACCAGCGGATTACGCGATAATACAAAGTGGCGTTACTTCGTTGTCTCGTTGATTCCTGAGAAGTCGCATAGAGTTAATATGAGTCAGAGCCACAAAACGGCGGACGGAAGTATTCATCCCCCGGTTGTCCGACTAGGCTGCTGTGGTTGCCAGGCTGTCGAAATGTCCTTAAAGGGACACTGACACCCCCCAAAAAAATTTTTTTATTTTTTGCCAGGCGCTTCATTATGGTGTCGGAGGACTACCCAATTAATATTTTGCAACAGAGTAGCGTATTTCTTTAATAAAGCCAAAAGACGCAACTGCTCGAAACCGAAACCGAAACCCGACGGAGGTCGGAGAAGTGGAGAGAAGAGAGTGACTGGCGGAAGTCACGTGGCTACACCCGACCGTGCGGTTTTTTTTGTTGTTTTTTTTTCTCCTCTCCGGTAGCAGACGACACGACATGCGGCGTGCGATGCGGCGTGCGGGAACTGCTTGCCGTGTGATTCTTTTGCAGTTATGTTTGTTCCGCTCGTTGTTCTGTACTCCAAGATGAGTTGTTTTGTACATTGAGGAGTTCGAGATGAGTAGTGAGTGTCCGTGGTGAATTTCCATGATCGGCTCCGAAAAGAATACACCCAAGATGTTGCGTGAAGAGCTGGCTCACATGTCCTGCGTCCGAAAAAAAGTGGCATTGTGCGACAGAGTTTCCGAAAGATCAACGGGATCGGGACCAATGGCTGGCTGCAATTCCTGTAGAACATTTACGGGCACCTCGGAAAGCGGACGCTACCTGATTTATATGCTCCTTGCATTTTGTGGAAAGTGATTACATTGAGTTCGCAGATGTCAAAACGGAAATCCCATACCGTTTAATTCAGCGAAGTATCGTCCAAACATTTGTTTGTTATTTTTTTGTTCGTTTCTTCAGTGATGATTGTAAAAAAAAAGAAAAAGATATGTAAACATCAAAAAATGTTTGAAAAAAAAAAAAATTCACGGGGGATCGAACCCGGTCCTACCGCGTGTGAAGCGGACGTCTTTCCCTCTGAGCTACTAGAGCATCTTGTTTCTAGTGGATCTCTTTCCTTAGTAATAATTTAGCCGGTAAACTGTAAGTTGGAAAGTTTGCTGTCGATTTTTCTCTAGCAAAAGCACTCCCGGGTCGAAGTCGGGAAGCACCACGCTTTGTGGACATTCGCACCTAGTAAAGAAATCGTACGCGTGCATATTCAACTCGAAGTAGACACGTCGTGCTTGACGTTTGCGCGAGCGTTGTCTTCAGCCACGAGAAGGGAGCGACGGCTCGGCGACGTCTTCGTGCAAATCGGCTAGGTGGCAGGGCGTGTCGTACGGGATGAATACCAATTCTTTTGATCAGTCCCACATTTCTCTTTTAACGGTAGACAGAATTCGCCGGCACCGCGAACGACAGTTCTGAAATAGAGGTCCCACGCCCGTCGTCCGCTGCCATCGCCGTCCCCGCGAGTCCCACGATACGCGAAACGACGAACGCACAGAATGCTTCCGGTTGTCTGTGGAACTTTTTTTTTTCAATCAACGTAATTACAGCTTTTTAGAAGCCAGAAAAAATGGGTTTCATATTTTTTTTCTATTTTTAATATTGAGTGTGTGCCTTCAGTGACCCACGACTTCGATTAAATTTGGTGGTCGCATCGATACCTTAGAAAACGGCCCGTGACCGCGAAAAAGAGAGTGAGCGAGACTCGAACCGGCCAATTCTTGATCGGCGGTTTTCGGGCGGAAAGAAACCGAATTTCGAGGCGCAAATTCTGTTCTGGGTAGTTGAGCTCTCATATGTCACGTACAACTAAAAACCTCGGCAAGCATAAATACCCTGTCAGTGTCCCTTTAAGAGACCAAACTCTCTCAGTATAAACGGCTCCGGGTGGCACATACGAAGACATTTTACTTTACGTCAATCTAGTTGCTGCGCACGTGCAGTGCCCACACATGGTGTGGCCAAACGCGGACTTCTTGTAAATAACGTGTTGGTCTATGCGCCGAAAAACTCAGGGAGAAGAGGAGACAAGAGCGCGCTGAGACATCAGAATGCCGAGCTCTGGTTGGAACGATTAGTGCATACGTAGACCTGAAGTCATGGCTGCCTCTGTCTCCACTGCACTTGTCGAAAGCTTTCGGATGCGAGATTCAAACGCGAACCAAAACCAACACATACATAATATCAAATGAAAGAGGATTGCATTGCCTTTCGAATGACATCAATCCCACAAAACAGTATTTAAAAGGAGATGAGTAATGGCCTGCCAAAAAGTACCTAAACTGCCACATTCAGTGGGACCGTGGCCTTAACGTGCACCACGCAGTAGTGATACACGACCGCACGCCGGTACGATGCTCATCCAGATCGAAACGGGCAGGGGTGGGGCTCGAACCCAGCATCGCAGCGCGAGCTTTCGCTCCACGCGCGTCGAGCTGGGTGTGCGCTTCAGCCCACTCGGCCACCAATCCCCCTGGGGGGGGGGGGGGGGGGGGGGGGGGGGGGGGCGGTTTGCAGGCAACGTTACGTTCCTAGCGCTTGATTGGCTGGGATGGCTCGTGCGACCGCTGCGATCCCTCGTAAGCTGAAACAAAGTGCCACTGGGCGTCTGTACGCAGGTCGGTGGGCGCTCGTAAACGGCCGGAAGCTGATGAAACGTCATTTCCGGCACCCACGTTTGCCGCGGTGAACGTATAATGTGTCTGCTTGGACATCTCTTCACGTGCACTATCCAGGGGTTTTTTCTTGAACCCTATCTGCCTTGATGCAATTGTCAGCCTTTTTCGCTCACTCAGAATATACAGCGAAAGGGTTGCGCGTGTTCACAATGACAAACTCTATCGTAAGCATAGCTTCAACAAATTTCAGGATGACTATCGTCTATAAGTGATGATGTCTATAAATACACGATTGCTATCGTCCATGAATGACAGCAGTAACAAACGAACAACAAAGACATATTGTTTTCGAAGACTAAGGCTGTGAAAGGTGAACGCGTCCCTTTTTTATTTTTTATTGTTATGCAGCTTAACCAGTGACCACTCATAAAAAAAGTTCCTTTAAGATATGTGAGTTACAGCTATAGCACCTTAGTCGAAATTTAGTTATGATACAAATACAGTTTTTATAAAAGAAATGTAATTATTTAGAGTTCAAAAAAAAAAAAAAAAACACTTACGCTTCAATTACCTTTATATTGTAACACGAAGAAAACAACCTATTGGCTTAAGGTAGGATTGGGGGCAGCAACAACAAGTAGTGCTGAAATTAAAGGGACCATGAAATAATTTCCAAG